AACACAATCTGTATGGAAAAGAGGAAGTAAAACTGCCAAAGGGCACACTAAAGAAAATAAGCCGATGAAGGTGGTCTTGCCCTGCCCAACTTTAAAACAAATTATCCAAGTGGTTATTAGCAAAACAATCTGGTACTGCACAGGGAATGGAGAAATCTATCAGTGGAATAGACTAGATACACCAGATATTCAGCCAAACATCTACAAAAGGCCAATGTTTGGTGAACTGATAGACAAGAAAGAGACTGAGCACAGGATTCAGTACTTAGCTTGGGAAAATTGGTTGGCAATTTGGCAGGAAAGGGATTTAGATTCACATTTTACACACTATATATATCCCAGTAAATTCCAGCTGAAAGATGAACTTAAACATAAAAATATATAAGAAAATGTAATAAAGTGTTCATCTAAATTGTAGAAGGGGGATAGATTATTTTTTCCCATTCAAACAGAAGACAACAAAACTGATGTGCTTGACTACATTAAGACAAAAATTTTATGTACAATAAAACTCAAAATAACTTTTAAAAAAGAATAGACTGGGGAAAATATTTAAGGACAAATATGACAGATAAAGACTGATATCTACATATAAGGAACTATTAAAAAAATTACAGTGGTAACTACCTCAAACCCCTCCCCCTCCATCCACAATGGATAAATGGCTAAGGGATACAGTTTTCAAAAGAAAAAGAAGTTACTAGCCACTTGAAAAATGCTTAACCTCACTAATAAATGAAACCAACTTTGAGGTATCACCCCACACCTTCCAAACTGGCAAAAATAACTAAAAGCAACAGGGGTTGCTGTGAAACAACTCATTCATTGCTGGCAGAAATGTAAGCCCATAATACCTTTCTGAAGAGCCATCTGGCCAGTATACGCTACAAAACATAATCATGCCTTGAAAATGCCTTTGATTTTCATAGCAGCATTAAATATACTTGCAAAAAACCTGGAAGGAACCTAAATGTCTAAATAATAGGGAAATGGTGAAATAATTGTGGTACATTAATATAATGTAATTAAGATGGTCAAGTTTGAGGAATACAAAGAAATCTGGAAAGGCCTTTATGAAATACTGTGAAATTAAATAAGCAGAAGCAGTAGAATAAAGTACATATCAACAACAAACACGTAAGAGGGAAAGTGAAAGAAGCAAGAAGCGTGAGGTGGGCCTTAATTAAGAGGAGTAACTACAAACATGGTGCAGGAGTATCTTCCACATACGGTCTTGCAGAGCAGCTTTCCCTACTGTTTCTGAACTCAGATACACATTTGAGTCATCAATATGGAGATATGTCATGAACTTAGTCTGAGATTCAGAACTATTTCAAAAAAGAGTAAACACAATTGAGGTTTAATGGGCTATTTTTTCAAGAGGAGATTTTTACAATTTTAAGAGGCAGATTAAAATAATATCTGCACCAAATCTGTGAGGAATCAGAAATATCAGTCTCTGGGGATTTGTTTTGCAATTTTGACTTTATTTGAAGGAATGCAGGCTTGGTCAAAGAATTGTTGCATTTTATGGAGTCTAAGTTTTACTTCATGGGCAAGGAAGATGGCACTCAACTTAAACACTAGTTGAGACAGCAGATCAAGTGATCTCTCACTAGACATTCAATTTCTTTCTAATGAATTCTCTCTATGAAGCCAATTTTGTTGAACTGAAAGTTGTGTAGTGCCATCTCAATCAGGACCTGAGATTTCATTGGTTCTGGGAACTTCCCACAGTAGGGACTGTACTTCTACCCATGCAGACCACACCTCCGACCTAGACAATGGGCCACCTTTAGAGATTTTCCTGGGGCAATGAGAGGTGTCACACAACTAGGTTAAAGAGGAGACAGGACTTGAATCCAGGTTCACCTGCTTTGAAGACTCACTCCCTAGTCATTATTTTGCCTCAGGTCAGACACTTGAAACCGTTGGAAGGGAAGAAGAGAAAAAACAAAAAGCTGAAATGCAGAGTCATAAATCGTTCTGCTATAACTTGAACATTCATCAAATCCGTAATTGATAAATTCAATATTGTAATTAAAAATTCTAAATCATTCAATGAATAATCTCTGCAGAAATGACAAGTTTCATTTTTGTCATGTACCTAAATGACTAATATGATTTCTACTTTTTTTTTAAACACACCAGGAGAAACTGCTTCATTTCTGTTGTCTTATCATGGCCAGGATGGTGACTCTACGTTGTCCAAGGCTACTCTGTAAGAAATAGCTCCAACTGACGTAGGCTGGCCACAGAGTGATCTATCATCTGCCCACAGTGCCCCAGGAAATAAGGAAAAATATAAAATGGCTCTCAGTCACGTGAGAGTAGCAGAAAAAGGAGAAGACTAATGCTCCAAATCATTAACAAGAGAAATGCAAAAACACTGAGGCATATTGGCAAATATTTTAAATGATGGAAATAGTCAATGTTGGAGGACAATGTGGGAGACAGGTATACCAATACACTGTTGGTGGAACTATAAACTGGTTCAACCTTTCCAGGAAACAATTCAGAATTATGTTTAGAAATGTTACTAAACTGTTCATATCCTTTGATTTAGTCATACTACTCATACTTGATGGAGGTCAATGACAGGAAGCAAAGTCCTCTGTGCACCAAAATAGCAGAGTAGCACTTCTTGTAGTAGGAAAAAGGGGGAAGGGGGGGAAATCACATGCCCAACAAGTGAGGGATGGTAGAATAGACTTGTGCATATGAATGCAATGGCCTGCTATTATGCTGTTGGAAACAATACGAAGAGTTCAGAGAAACATGGAAAGAATTGTATGAACTGATGCAGAGCAAAGAAAGAACCAAAAGATCATACACAATGACTATAATAATGTAACAAGAGTTCAAATCAAATATAATGACATGTTGGTTTCACAGGACTAATAGTAGTTTCACACAGCTAATATAATTTCACGCCACTAATATTAAAACATGCTTCTTTACTCTCTTAGAGCATAAAGTGACATGTGCAGTCAATTGCAATTGCAATATTAGATGATTTAAGAAAAGGTAGTATGAAGGGGGTATTTATTTCAAAGTGACCACTCTGTTAAAACAAAATATGTCAATATTTTTAAAAGATTTTTAAAAAACGAATGAAAGATGTGTGTTGTTTAGACTACAGCATGCAGTTGAAATGGAAACCCCTCTACTTTTGACAGACACTGTGGATGTACAATGACCTGAGTAGGAACAAGAGGGCTGACTGGATTGCCTTTGGGAAAGTGTGCAGGGCTTTTAATGACCCCAAATTTCACCCTAAAACAAAGGTCCATATTTTTTGGCATTAAGATTCCTCTTGTGATATAGTATGGCTCCAAGTCATGGAATATCCCAGTCTCTTAAGATGTCAAGTTGAGATTCAACAATGGAAAAAATAGGCTACCACAGATTACCAAAGAGACACTACGCAGGAAAAGTAGTATAAAGGACACCAGTGAAATCTACGATTTGTTTGAAGTGACACAAAGCAAAGACAGCAGAATCAAAGAATATACACACAGTGATTATATATTGTAAATGAAGACAAGAATTCAAATCAAATACAACTAATATTGGTTTCACACAACTAATGTTACAACATGCCTCCTTTCTGTTAAGAAATGGAAAACAATAATAGCATAAAGTGACATGTGCAGTCAGTTGCAATTGCAATATTAGACAGTTTAAGGAAAGTTACTATGAAGGGGATGGGCTAGTTCTATATAAAGAAAGGGATAACCGATGGTTATTAACTCACTCCTCTGGTATCCCCAATCCTCTCTGTATCACAAGATCTTGAGGAAGGGTCCCAGCACTGGGTGAAGCCTTAGTGTAGGAGTTACAGGAAAGCACAGACAAGAACCACACAGGATAGACATAAACCACAGGATGGACAAGAGCCACACAGGATGGGGCACTCTCTGCAATGCTGCAGGGAGCATGCACATTGATTAAGATCACAGATCCACCGAAGTGAGGTGAAACTGTGGAGGGATATCACTGAATGGGGAAAAGGTATCCGACTAAGGGGAAAACACAAATTCTCAAGTATCTGTTATCCAACATGCCCACGTGGGTATGATATAAGACATCAGCCAAGACAGGACACTATGGAATCTGACAGATGAGTCTTGAAGGTTATCACTGAATCAGAAATACTTTCACTGTCAAAAGAAATGAAATGCAAATAAAGTTCATCTGAATCCATATTTGGATAAATTTCTATTTATCTGAGGGACAAATGATATTTTTTTCAAACCAAAAACTAGCTGTCCCATTTTCCTTGAAAAACAGCTCCATAGACCAGCCAATTATTCCTTTGAACTTCTTTCTTGGCTTGAACTCTTTTCATGGCTTGGCTGTAAGAAATATGTTCCTTTTACTTAAATTATCTAAAGCAGAGGTATCAAACTTAATGCCATGGGTTGACCTAGATTAAAATGTAATTAGGAAATGTTTAACAAAACAAATAAAATCTTACAACACAACATAGATAAGATTATTTTGCTGTTTTTAAGTCAATACAGAGCCTCAGGGATCTGTTTCTATTTGAGTTTAACACTCGTGGCCCAGAGCTATGTGGCTTTGCCTACCCTCTCTTGGACAATTCTAGTGTCTAGCCTTCTTGCTTCTGAAGAAATAGAACCATCTGAGGATGTACAAAGTAGGAAGGAAAGAGAAGCAGAAGTACTGTGAGAAAACAATGGAATCTCTTATGAATGTGGTCTTCCACAATATACTTACAAAAGAGTCACATGGTAGCATTTCCAATGTTCTGACCATGTGTCACAAAAGCTACACTAGTTCTTCTTCATTTGTCATTTTTCTTTCCTCTCTTTCCTTATTTAACCCTCTAGGTATCAAAGTGAAATAAAAATAAAGTCACCCCAAGACATCAAAGCAGGAATTTAGAGCACGTCTCTCCTCAATAAATTACCTACTTTTAGAACTAAATACAGAAAAGTAAAATACTGGAGAAGAATGTGGACTCTACAGCATGATTACTCTGACTTGTTGCTTTTATGGAGCTATAATCACCCAAAAATATCTTACCTCCAAGAATATAATCATCAAACAATTTTAAAGAGCAGCCCATCAACTGTCAACACGAATAGTCCCCATCATAAACTTCCCCACAGAAAGAGTCAAAGACTGTCTTAAGCTACTTAAAATTTTTAGTATTTCTAATATTCATTCAAACATACTACTATGAAAATACTTTAAAGAATGTCCTCATTTCACACTATCTTACAAGGTGGTGATAAACTAGTGAATATAAACATGTAACTAGTTCACGTTCATGGCAGACACTTTAAATTATGGTTTTTATGGAAAACTCCCATGATTCAAAGTTTTTATGTACTATAAAATGTTTCACACAGACCAGGGATTTTGTACATGAGTTTCTTAGCAAGCCAGAAACCATTATTCAAACTTAAAGGCTCAAGTTGGGCTAAAGGAAATCAACTGCAAAGATTAGGTCAAATTGAAAAGAAAAATCAGCCTTGGAGAAAAAAATAATTCTAGGTGCTAAAGGTCCAGAAAATGTCAGAAAGCAATTCCCCCTTTCAAAGCTTTCTCACCCAATGACTATTCAGCATGATGTTAGGCTCCCCACTCTGTGATTGCATGCATGACTATTTCCCTACAATCATCAGGCTCAAATTCCAATGGGATTTTGACTTCACAAAGAATGGAAAGAAGAAAAGTAGATTCTAATCTTATATCTATGATTTTATGAATAAATAACAGGTGAAGACACAAGACAATACTCCCTAAAAAATATACAAACGGTGCCTTCACCTGCAGCCCTGCCTCCTTGCCCCCAACACCACAAAACCATCAGCTGGGCATCAAACACAGAAACAGCAACCCTTTGGAGAAACTCAACTGGTACTACCACAAAGAGAATCATCTACCTTGTAGAGTGATTTTAAATCTACACATCAACATTAATGGATTTAACTACAAACCAACCTGTGAAGTCTTCTAACTTGGAAAAGCGTTTTGTCTTTTTGCAAAAAGCCACTTTCATTACTACACTTAAGTTGAGGAGTCAAACATTTACCTAAATCATCAGCATAGCTCTAATCAAAATTTTGGTTAAAAAACAAAAATCCACATAAACTCTGAGGATAATGTTAAGGCTTAGAAACCCCACGGCCAAATTCACCCTGGTTACATTAAAACATCAACATCTCCTTCATGATCTTCTTCGGTCACTTTCAAAGACAGCACTTCTTCATTGAGGAAGAGCCCGCTCAGCCTCTCTTTGCGGGCCTGCCTCTGCTCCTTCAGCTGCCTCTTGCGGAAGGCCTTCTGCTGTAACTTCCGCTGCTTGGAACGTTTCTGGGAAAAATCAAGTTTTAAAAGTGGCATCAGTTCTGGTGTACTCTCCTCCCTCTCTGCCAAGAACTTCACAGATCAAATCCCAGTATTCAGAATGCTAAGGGACTTATTCCACTGCTACAGCTCATATTGCTTGAGTAAAGAGGCCACAGCCTGAGGCTTAGAAGTTTTAATAAATACAGGTTAGAGTACTGAATCCACATTTTGTCACATAAAAATTTCTTGCTATTTTATATATATTTTTGATGCTGAATCAAAAAATACACAAGGAATTTCTCTAGTACCCACTGTTATGGAGTAACAAATAAACTGTGATATAAATTATGTAATATGAAGCAGTAATGAAGTACAGTTTGGGGGAGGAGTGGTATAGTGAGAAGTCACTGGTGTAAAGACCCAGCTTACGTGCTATATGGCAAAGCAGGCTGGGCCCCGTTCATTCACATGTGTTTAGTCAAGCAGTAAAACTCTCAATATGCCTTAAGATGTCCTGGTGGTTGTATGCTGGGCATCATTTGGTAAATATCATTCTTCTTCCTAATTCATCCCCAAACATTTATGCTCTGGAGACATTGTGCGCATTACTTCAATCCTTCCTATGCCACAGAAGTGTGTTGATCATCCAATTGGTGAAAACTCAAAAACTGAAGCTCTCCTCACTCCCCAAGCTAGGAAAGTAGAGGAACTCAATTTTGGTCACAAAATAGACCCTCAAGATAAACCTTAAAGACCCTTAGATGATTGATTGAATCCATAGACCTCAGCACATGCCTTTTAAGGTTCCTAAAATTAGGAAAAAACAAAAAGACCATTCAAAAGAGTTTTCTATTTTTGTTAAACAAATATAACAGGATAAGATCTTTTTTAAACAGCAAACTACCTGTTGCAGAAACTTGAATGGAAAAAGATGAACCTGATGATTCTGATTATGAGGATCAGGCTGCTCAGCTCAGCAAACCACACAGGTGGTGACTGATCCCTCACTGGAAATCACTCTCTGTTCTCCATGCCTCAGTTAACAACTCAAGAAGACATAAACGACCTTGTTTAGGATCTTAATGCATCTATAACTCAAGTTGAACTTTTAGCTTCCAGACTAAAAAAAGGATGAAATGTCCTGCAAGAGGACATCAAAGTATGTTCAAAACAGAACACTTCCCCTGAGAAACATTCAATACAAAAAGCATTTTTGGCATGAGTATTGGGATCTAAAAGGGACTGCTCTCTCTTATTAGGTATGCAAAGTGCCTCTCCAAGAGTGCCACTTTATTTATGAGCGGGACTGGAGAAACAGAAAAACAAGCCACAATACATTCAAAGACACTGGGCTCAAAGAAAAGAACTAATTCCCAAAAAGAACGAGGGATAAAGAAAAGTTAGCTGCTGGCTAGCCCTGTAAAAGTTACCTTACCACCATCAAAAATTAAAAAGGTCCAATGAAAAATGGATCAAACAATCCAGGTTTTCTTTATCTGAAAAATAAATTTCCAAGAACCTGTGGGGCTGAAATCAATGAGGATAATTTGTGTATGGATATTCCAATAAGAGAAGTGATAAAAGATGAATCTTTTGAAGAACAACTGAATTAAAAAAAAAAAGAACTGAATGAAGCTGAAGTAACTACATGGAGACTGTTTTTAAAAAGGACCAAAATGGTTTTCTTTTTTGGGCAACTAAGAGGCATAAAATTACCAAGAAACTGTCAATGATGGTCTCAAGCTTATAAACTTAGGAAATGTAACATGTCACTCAAGATCTATTTCTTGGATTCACATTTGGAATCCTTCCCCCCCCAAACCTCATTGCTCTGTGATGGGCCCTGAGAATGTTTCCAACAAGAAATCCCCACAATGGAAAAAATACATTGGGGCAAGAAGAATCCTTGTGTCCAGCCTAATGCCAGGTGAAATACCACGGAAAATCAGCAGTAGCTACATTTGGGAGAATAAAAGGAATGCAATTTTGTTCAGAAAAACAATTTTTCAGAACTTTAAACTATGATCCCTGTGAAAGCAGTGGGTGATAGGCAAAATCTGAAATTATACTTGAAATCAGCATAATAATATTATATATAGTTCATTTATTTTCCTGGTTGTGACAGGAAGGATAAAACCAAAACCAAAAAGTCATTTTCCAGCTGTGGTCCAGGGTTATGCTGTAATAGTATTTGACCAATACATCCCTCCCTCTTTAGATCAAGCAGAGTTTAAAGTAGGTGATTTTATCTAGTAATAAGGGACTCAGTTAACTCTAGTTTAAATTAACTTCTCTGTAATTAAGGCCCACTAGTAGCAAGGCCAAATGAACACGACCGATATCACCCATAAGATCCAGGTAAGACTGTATGACTCTTTGAAACTACTGCCTGTCTCCCCTTCCCGTCCTGCCCACCCCCATCTCCATACTATGGCTCCCCACCAGTCCCAATGGATTCCCCAGCTCTAATCTAATTCTCTTGTTAAACCAACCCATGTTCCTGTCTCCCCAGGCTCCCATCAGGCAGCCCTTGCTCCAGGGGCCTTCGCAGATTTCCTTTACCCCCAGCTGAAGGGGCTCTCTTCTAAGTTCTTAGCAACTCAACTGGCCCTCCCCTTTACACCCTTCACATCTGCCTTCACCCCCAATTTGCTCTGCTTGGTTTATTGCCTAGTGTAGGTCATCACTATGAGGGCAGGCTTGGTTCCACTACAGCTCTGGATGTCTAGGCATCGAGGAGGCTTTTTAAATGCAGGTGGAAATAAGTACCTTGGAGCTGGGCCATGCAGGCTGGGGAAGAATCGGGACACTTCTCGCCTCCTACAAAGCTACTATGGTCCTGCCTCCAAGGACCATGGTGCTCTTCTCTACTGGTTCCTACAGAGTTGGGGAAACACCTCCGTGCTCATGAACCAGGCTCGAGGCTCAGTTGCCATGGCAAAGACCCCAAAGCCCCACTGAGAGACATCAAAGAACTCTATTAACATGACTTCTGTTTGTTAAGACCAGAAAAACTACACATAATGTTCAACCTCTGAGGAAGAAAAGAATTCTGTCAGGCAGAAATCACACAGGAAGAATTATCTCCTATGCAAATTGGCATGGAACAAGCAGTTAGCATACAAGTTTATAAGCACACAGACCAAAGAGCTGACAAGGCCCCTGGAGAATGGGGAGGCCATGTGTGGGACAGCCTGTTCTGCCAGGGCACCATCCACATTTCATGTTCCATGGTAACACTGACTCAGCAGTGAACCTTAAGAAATAATCCAACCCTCTGAATCACTAATTCTATTTTCAGCAGTTCTCTCAATCATAATGGACAATGTATTTCTACGTAGTTTGCATTCAGACAAACCTGAAAACTGCTGTATGCCTGTAAGGCAGAACATCATAATAGGCACTGACATTTATAGAGCACTTTACATATATATTAGCTTCTTTGATGCCCGGTGCTATGAGGTAGGTGCTCCAGGCATTGGTGAGGTTAAGTGCCTCGCCCACGATCCCACAGCTAGACAGTGGACGAAGAGCAGAGCTCAGGAAGAGCTGGGTCCCAATCCAGCCTCAGACACTTCCTAGCTACACGACCCTAGGCAAGTTCTTTCCCCTTCCTGGACCTCAGTTTCCTCTGATTCGCTGACCTCTTATGTCCCCTTTCCAGCTGTAGAGGTGACAGAAGCAGGCAGGAAGCTCCTGGCTCCCTGTGCCCGAGCACCTGGCGTACCTTCACATGGCAGGGAGAGCTGGTGGGGTCGGGGTGGGGGGAGAAGGCAAATTTCACCAGCATGCCAAGCACTGCCCTACTCGGACTGGGAAGACTTGAATGAACTGATGCAGAGTGAAGTGAGCAGAATCAGGAAAACAATTGAAATAAGAATACTGTCATGATATACAATTTTGAAAGACCTAAGAACCCTGAACAATACAATAACCAACCACAATTCCAGAGGACCCATGATGATACTCATCACTTGCCAGGGAAGAGAAAGACTCAAAATGCAGAGTGAGACATATAATTTTGGTCATGACCAATGCAGGACTTTGTTTTGCTTGACTGAATTATCTGTTACAAAGGTTTTGTTGTTCTTTCTCAAGTGGGGAGGGGGGCAGGGGAATAAATGCTTGTTAATTGGGAAAAAAAATTTAAATAAACTGTCCAGTCTTCTAGCCCAGTGGTGTCAAACTCAAATAAAAACAGGGCCTGCTAAAGGGATAAGGATCCCTGCAGGCCACATACTGACTTAGAGAACCATGATAACATTACCTGTTCTATTATATTACTAGTTATTTTGTTAAATATTTTAATTTTTGGTTCAGGTGGCTCTTGGAGTGTCGTGGGCCACAGCCCGTGCAGCATGTTTGACATCTCTGCTCTAGATGACTCTTTACAAACATGGCAACGGTGGGGAGGTGATAAACCCTTAAGGACAAGGGCATTTTTAAAAATCATTTTCCTGATTCTTTCACAGAAAGCAACACTGTCAGATGTCATGAACAAACTGAACAAACGATGGCCTGCTCCCTCAGGGCATGCGATTTTTCAACACTGCATCCAGCTCATGCACCAAAACAACCAAGCCCCCCCATCCCTAGAACCAACTTTGGAAAGCATCTCAGTGAGTTCCAAGTAGGGGCACAGCAGTACTATCACTAATCACCAAAACCACACTAGGTCCTTGCACTTACCAATGGGACACTTTACCTTAGAATCTCGAATCCGCTCCGCTGCACTGGTGGACAGGTTGCTGTCACTGTGTGCCCGGCTCATGTTGGCGCTTGAGTTGGAAGCGGAGTTGCCCACGCTGGAACCAGTACTGCTGGCAGAGCTGACCATGCTGGCACTGCTGCTGCTGGCGCTGGCGCCGCTCACACCGCTGGTGCTGCCACAGTTGTAGCTGCTTCTCTTCCAGGGCTCTCTCATGGCCCGCTGGCGAGGCCCATGCTCCTTGATGTAGTTTCTCACCTTGAAGCACAAACAGGAAAAGTGGCTCAAGTTTAGGCCCTCCATGGTCTTTCAGCAATCCACTACAAAACCAAATCAGATTTCCCTCCCAATGTGTGTACAGCTAAATGTGCCAGACGGGTCCAAGGAAGAGGTGAGTTTTTAAAACCAGAAAAAGTACCAAAAAGAGAAACATGCCAATGTTTGAGGTTCCCCCCCCAAAAAATTAACACATAGCTAGACCATCAAAAAATAAAAGCATTATCAGAGATTAATGTTTGTGGTATAAAGCAGTAATTTTCAAAGTGTAGTCCTCAAACCCCTGGAGGTCTTCTGAGACCTTTTCAGGGGGTCTTTGAGGTAAAAACTATTTTTATAATGACACTAAGCTGTTTTAATTTCTGATACGGTAAATATTGATAGATATAACTCACATAAACAAAAGTTACAGGAAAGGAGGGGTCCTCAAAAATTTTTAAGAGTGTAAAAGGGTCCTGAGACCAAAAAAAAAGCTAAGAACTGTTACTATAAAGGAAAGGTACCAAATAAAAAATGCAAACTCCAACTCTTTGGGCACTTGCCCAATCAATGTCTCTAAGCTTCAATTTCCTCATCTTTAAAATGGAGATAATATTGTCTGACTTGCCTACTTCAAAGCCTTAGGGTAAGGATCAAATGACATCATATACATACAACTTAGTAAACCATAATGTGCTATCTAAAAGTACCAATTGTTATTTTTAGTCATTTTTTTCAGGGTGGAAATGCAAACCTTAATCATCCATGCTTATTTACCCAGAAATCTGACCTTTTATATATTAACATTTGTGATTCTTTCTGTTTAGATATAAAGAGATGAAGTATTTTTTCTCTCACGTACCTGTTTGAGTTTTTCATCTGTGAGACAGTTCAGTTCAATAATAAACTCACTGTCTGTAGGGGAGATCTGTGCAGTGGGATCAATAATTTTAATGATATCAAGTTGTTCCCGAAGACCCATTTCAGTACTGACTTTACGACTCAAGTACTCAATATATTCAACCTATTTAATGAAAAAGAGTGCTGTTACTAAAACCTGTTAATGTTTAGTATATATTCCATGGATAGATACTGTGTCACATATTTCAAAAAAGTACTTTGCAGTTCCATGTTTTGCTTGAACAGGTCAGGTAGAGCTCCTTCCCCCTCCCTGCACCCTCCCCCCTGCCGAAAGCTGGCTCTCCTACCTCATAAGGCTGTTGTAAGCAAAGCACTTTGAAAGCCCGAAAGCTCTATATGGGGAACAAAAAGCTCTCTCTAAAGGCAAGTTCGAGTTCAGATTGCCTACATGTGCACTCCAACTTTAAAGAGATAGTCCATTGACCTTCGCCTTTTAATTACAAATGGAGAAGAGAGTTCTACCTGCTCATCGTTTGTCATGGCACTCCAGGGGAGCTCATCTAGGTTGCGGTGTTTGTTTTTCTTCTTGGGAAGCAGGCATGGTGAGCTGGGAATGCTGGGGATGACGTCAGAGAACACATCACTCCCACTTGCAATGTCACTGCCTGGTAACTTCAAAAGGGGGAAAAAAAGAGCCAAACTTTCAGTTCTGAAGAGCCAAAGGCCTAAGCAAACAAAATTAGTTCAATCAATTGGATCAATAAGCACTGATTAAGTGCATACTATGTGCCAGATATTTAAGAGGTGGGAATACAAAAAGGTTTTGAAAAAGACCAATACCTGTCCTCAAGGAGCTTACAATCTAATTAGAGGTTACAAGACAAGCCTAATGGCAAATAAAGGAACTCAGAATATCAATTTTTAGCCAAAATTTCAGATACCTGAACAAGAAATACTAGGCAGTTAGTCATTCAATGAGCCAGTCAATATAGTTTGATTTGCTAATATCAACATACAAGTTACCCTTTGAAAATAAATTTAGGAAAAGAGGATAGTACCTAAGGGTAGGACATAGAAAGCCTTGAAAAAGGTAAGTATAAAACCCTTAAAATGCAACGTCTGAATTCCAAGATTCATGATGGAAAATGCTATCCACATCCAGAGAAAGAACTATGGAGTCTGAATGTAGATTGAAGCATATTATTTTCTCTCTTTTTGTTGCTTTTTCTTTCTCATGGTTTTCCCCTTTTGTTCTGATTCTTCTTTCACAAGAGGACTACTGTGTAAATATGTTTAAATAGGATTGTATATATATATTTTGTGTGTGTATATATATATGTGTATATATATACACACATATACACATTATATGTATATATATACACACATATATACATTATATGTGTATACACACACACACACACACACACACACACACATATAACCTATATCAGATTGCTTGCTATCTTGGGTAGGCAGAGGAGGGAGAAAAAAATTTGGAACTCAAAATGTTGAAAACTATCTTTACATGTAACTGGAAAAAATAAAATACTATTAAGTGTGGGGCAGGGAGGAATGCAATGCCTGTTGCCTCAGAATGAAAACAGTTAACAGTGGATGGAAGGGCTTTATTACTGGATATTCCTGCAGAGACAACAAGTATAGACTGAGGCCCATGAGACCTGGATTCAGCTCCTAGCTCAGAAACTTCCCTATTGTGTGATCTGGGGCAAGTCACTTCTCTGGGCTTGAGTTTTCTACTGGTAAATTTGGGATAATGTAACTTTACCTGCTTCTAACAAGGGTAGTTGTGACAAATGAGCTACACTTAAAACATGACCCCAGGGACCATACTATCCATGGGGTTTTCTTCGCAAAGATACTGGAGTGGTTTGCCATTTCCTTCTCCAATGGATTAAGACAAACACACATTAAGTGACTTGTCCAGGGTCACACAGCTATTAAGTGTCTGAGGCCCAATTTGAACTTAGATCTTCCTGACTCCAGGCCAAGCAGTATATCCACTGAGCCAGCTAGCTACCCTGAATTCTTTTTAAAAGATTTCTATTTCTCAAAAACATCCAAAGGGCTTTAAAATCCAACAAAAAAGAACCAAAGTAATGGAAGATCTCTTCTGGAGGAGTGGTGTAGGGTGAGGAAAGAAGACAATTTAGGTACATCTCTGGCTAAGACTAGTCTTTCAAAGTTTGGTTATACCTCAGTGGATAATTTAACTTTGATTCAATTAGATCTTTAGAAACCTTCATACACAAAACTTAAAGCAAGTCTATTTAAAAAAATTGACCAACTTTAATTTATATTTATTAGTATTCCTGATAAGAAATCACTGGTTATTACAGAAAACCAAAATACCGTAGGTCCAGAATTATTTATATAGGAGAAATACTGATGACAAAGTCATCTAACATTCATTAAGAAAGGCATTGTACCTAATTCTTGAATATACTATTGTGTTTGTTAATTTTTATAACAAAAGAATGTTTTCAGAAATGATTTCACACACACAAATCATAACAATAGTTTATGAAATAAATGGTTATGGGGCAACAAGATGGAGATTAGACACCAAAACGGTCAGTCCCCAAAAGGCAATATTAGCAATAAAACTGATGTGCTTGACTAAATTAAAATATAAGTTCAACTATATTAAAATATAAACTTTGTACAATATAGATCAATAATTTTATACTACTTATAGTAAAACTGTATTAATATTGTTTTCCATAGCCTCCATTTCCCCCTGTATCTCTCTTCCAATCAACAGATTAGAGGAAAATATTTATGGCCATTTATACATATATGTGTGTGTGATAAAGATATGATATCTAAAATATACAAGATATATATATATGTATATATATAGACGTATATAAAACATTTGTATTTAAGGTATATATAAAATATATAAGGTATATATAGCTATCAGACATCTAATATATAAATAAGTGTGATATCTAAAATATACAAATATAAGATATCTAGAATATACAAATATAGCAAAAAAAAAATCACACTGGCAGCACCCAGCCCACAATAGAAAAGTGGTTCAAGAATAGAAACAATTTCCAAAGAGGAAGCACATAATTGTTTAGAATTACTTGAAAAATATCCAACCTCACTAATAATCAAAGAGATACAAATGAAAGCAACTTTGAAATATCACCTTGCACTCATCAAATTGGAAAAGAGAGGAGAGGAAGGAAGGGAGGGAGGGAGAAATGGAGGGAAGAAAGAAAGAAAAGGAAGGAAGAAAGGAAGGAAGAAAGAAAGGAAGGAGAAAAGGAAGGAAGGAAGGAAAGAAGAGGAACAGGGTATGTGGAGAAATAGGTTAAATGCTGGTAGAATATCAAACCCACAGCACCTTTTAGGAACAGTCCGGCAGCATTGAGCATCAGTCATAAAAAAAATAATTACACTCTTTGACCCGATCATTCAATTACTGAGAATATACCTTAAAAGTGTTGTTTTTTTTTTAAAAAAAATCAACAAGGTATTTTCTGTCCAAAAATGTTCATAGTAGCATTATATGTAACTGCCAAAAACTTGGATGCAACAGAAACATCCAATGATAGAGAATGAGGCAGACCACGTGTGGCACATTATTGTGAGGCCCTAGTTAGAGGCAGTGGAAAGAGCACAGGCTCTGGAGTTGGAGTGTCTGCCTTCCACATCTTGCCTTGGTCACTTCTTACTCCCTATGGGATCCTGGGTAAGCCACCCCACCTATCTAGCACTCAGTGTGTTCACTTGTAAAATGAGGGGGTTGGCCTTTATGGTCTCTTTCTTATGTCCTATGGTCCCTTCCAGCTCAAGAACTAGGATCCTGTCAGCTGAGTTGAAATCCTGGCCATACCACTTCTCCCTGTATGACTTTGAGCATCACCTAATCTCATCTGGTAGAAGCTTGGTCATCTGTAAAATAACAGGGTTAAATTAAATAACCTCTATGAATATTTATGAACACTGAATGTGAATATCACAGGGCAATTAACACCAACATATCTGAGGAAGAAAGATACCCAGAAAAACCCTTCTGAAAGAATGCAAAGAGAAGAAAGTAGAAGTATCAGAAGAGTGAACAAACCCAGGACCACAATGGGGATCTCACAGGTGGTAACTAAAAAATTGTTATACTTTATGCATAAAAATCAAGCAATTTAAATATTAACAACTGCTGAGAAAGTTTAGATGGGGGTATTGATGTTCAATATTGAAGGTTTTTTAAATGTTATTTTTGTTGACTCCTTTGTTTTTACATCACATTCACTTCCAAACATGCCTCTCTTCTCCCCTACACCGTGAACCATCTCTTGTAACAAAGAAAAACAAAAGCAGTTCAGCAAAACAAATCAACATATGAGAAAAAAAAAGGGAAGAGCGAAGAAACCAAGAATCATGAAGGAGATTTAAAAAGAGTAACTGAAAAATTATCATGACAATTTGAGCATCAAAACTGGTTAAATGAAATCTGAATAATTACTGAGAAAGTTTTAATGAAAGATTTATTAATACAAAAGGACCAGGGCCTGAGTGACGATGCTCAACCAGAACCAGCGGCCTTCAGGGGCCTAGATTAGGGTGGCAGCAATGGTAAAAAGCGATGGGTATTCATGAATGGGTCCAATTAATATAGGAAAATTAACAACATACCTCAAATTAATGGATTCTATTTAATATGACCAAACAAATTATGAACAAACTCCCTTTATTGAACATGAGAAAACAACAATGAAATTTATTTGGAAAAAACAAGTGAGTTTTTGTTACAAAGGAAAGCATCTGAGGTGAGAGGGGGTGAATAGTGATAATGCAGTGATAATGATGCAAAAAGAAAGAAAAGAATAAATGACAAAATTTTAAAATACATATATGAGAGCAGAGGGAAGGTCTAAAGGGAATAAGCAGGGCAATTTTGTTACTACTGTATTAAATATATATTTATATATGTGTGTGTATGTATAGACATATAAAATACAAGTTCACATACATGCTTCACATAAAATCCTCTTTTTCTGTTCTTTGTATCTTGAAATGTTTATGTTTCTTGATGTCCAAATTAATACCAAAAAAAGAAACAAGTAGGCAAGAACCCCAAGGGGCATACAGAAAGAGAAAAGCTGGCAAGAGGGCTCTTCCACCCCAAGGCTTGCAAACACAATACTGAGTAGTTTATCAGCAAAACTATCTGGTACTGGGCAAAAAAGAGAGAGAAATAACAATGCAACAGAACAGATACCAACCAAATGTTTATAAAACACTGATATGTTTGGTAAACTTATTTATAGAAAAGAAAAACCAGCAAAGGATTCATTATTTAACAAATGTTCTTTAAAAAAAAAAAAAGGTTGGAATTTTTAAAGACTTAAGAACTCGGATCAATGCAATAACCAACCCTGATTCCAGAAGACTGATGAAACATGATACCTACACCTGACAGAGAAGTGATGGACTATGGGTGCCGAATAAGACGTGCATTTTCAGACGTAGTCAATGTGGGGAAATTTGCTTTGCTTGACTCAGAGTATTTCTTTAAAAGGCCTCTTTCTTTTTTTTCCAGTGGGGGTGGGGAAAGGGAAAAGAATGGAACCCCAGTCTTGGTGTTGCCAAAAAAAAATAAAGAAAATTTTTTTTTTTTAAAAAGGAGACCATTG